AAGTAAGTAAGTAAGTAAGTAAGTAAGTAAGTAAGTAAATAAATAAATAAATAAATAAATAACACAATTATTTCCTTCCCTCTTCTTAAGAATTACACTTTGGTAGCAACTTTTGGAGATTGGGGAACTGCATCTAAATCTTTCAGGAGCTGGCGTAACCCTTGGTTTCAAGAATAATGGTGAATTGTCTGATGTTGCTCCCGGCTGAAACTAAGCAAAGTGCAAGTTTACTTAGAGTAAGCAAACTCCTGGAAAACCTATCTACATTCCTCTGAGCTCCTGCCAAATATGGTGTTATCAATGAAACATAATCAATGTGACCATACTTATTAATTATGTAATTATTAGTTAATTAATTATAATTAGATTTGTTTTGCAGAACAAAAAGGGACTTACCATATGAAGTCCTTGGGCCAGAAGGTATTTTACAAAGTGCTGGAACAAAGAAATCTCTTGTGCTGAAGATCCCAATGGCTTACTCCGGAGAATCCAGCTCTCTGTATGAAGATTTCTAACATGCACTGCCCTCCAGTCTCTCACAGTGCATTTAAGATGTATATCAACTGTACCTTCAAAGTGCCTCTGGTTCAAAGTCAGAGGTTCCAGCACCACAGCACAACTCCAGGCTTCTTCTTTTCCTGTCCATTTTTAAAGATCAAAAATGTTGTACTTTATTTACCAAACAAACTTTCTATAATTTCTGTATGCAGTAATGAATAAAAGCTGAGACAATTGCTAGCATGTGACTATTATCCTGAGTGCCTTATAACAAGGGTTTCATTTTATCTGCTTAAAGTACAACTATGTAATAGAATAAATGCTCTTTTTCACAGCAACTTCACTGCTCATGAACCATAAATATTATTTTCATTACCATCAGCCTTGAGGAGCAGGACTCCATCCAGATTTGGGAAGGACACTTGTAAAGAAGAAGGCAAGGAAAGCAAGCAGTTCAAAGATGAATCAAAAGGCAATATTTTAGTCCATGGGGTGAATGATGGCTCAGAACAGGAACACTCCACAGGGGAAGCTGGGATGGTCCCTTTTTTCTGATGATCTAAATACTGGATTAAGACCTCAGATGGCAAGATGCTGCCTCCCAAGACGCACATCACTTCAAACAACATACGATAGCCAACGTGATCTGGGGATTCAAGAAGCTGAAATGAGACAAATGAGAGAAGACCAGAATAAGGCTAATCACATAATGGTTGGAACAGTATAACATGGAAGACTAGGTTGAAATTGGGTTGCAGAGTTTGTAGTTTAGCCTGTTGGGGGAACTTACCCACTGACTTAGTATGCTGTCTGAATCAGACCATCATGTTAAGCTTCAGTATGGTTTATTTGAACACTGCATGTTGCATGAACTCAGCATCCCAATAATCATCATTTCCTACATGGGCCTGTTGGAGACTTCTATTCAATGACAGAGGATCTTCTCTGTGTTCCCCAGTAATATTGCAGTTTTGCAAAAGAGACAGTTCTGTTCCAACAATAGCATCCAAGCGATGGTACAAACTCCCCAGAAACATGAATATAGTTCAGTAGTTCCCAGTCTTTTATGTAGACTATTACAACATCATCCTAATCTTTGGAGGTTACCTTGTGAGTCAGCAGCTGGCAACCCAGCAACTGTGGTCTATGTGAATGTACAGACCCTTCTCACAGGCGCAAACAGCCTTTCCCAACTGGAGTTTCACAGAACCCTAGGGTTCCATGAGAAGTCGGTAGGGATTCCTTGAGAAGTTGTGCTAGCACTTGCAGTGGTGGGAATTTTTACGTGCTGCGACTCAGCTGCCAGCCTGCCACTTTGCTGTTGTTGTAAAAGGTGGATTGTGTAGGTTAGAAATGAATCGTATTGTGAAGTTTTTATATTTTTTGCCATTTTTATGCAGGGGCTCCCCAAGATTTGAAAATTATTTCAAGGCTTCCTCCAGGGTAACAATGTTGAGAAAGGCTGGGCACAAGTATTTATACATGATTCTGTACTTACAGTCTTTTCTGTTCAATTTGGTAGAAAGAAGAGCTGTAGGCATGCAGCATTTTGCACACTTCGTGAATGGGTAATCAGCATGCATGAAAACCTCAGGACCAGACACACCTATAGTCACAGTCTCAATGTAATTGAGAAAACTAGAGAATAGTAAGATGAAGTTGAAGTGTTACAATCAGAAAGTTCTGAATGTAGTCAATCACCTTAAAACCCAGAAGATGAACTTGGAACCACTGCTCTACCTCAGCCTCTTATCTCAGAGTTGTACAAATAAAACAATAACCAAAGTACGTATGATTTTTGAAGGAAGGAAAACAAATGCAGCAATATAACATGCAGAACAATAATCTTGAGATTTTTACCTTGGACTGTTCAGTGGTGTCCATCCAGTACAGAGTGACCTTCTGATTGGCCATCATTTCCTGAATTATCTTAGGGATGAATTTTTCTGCCAGGTCATGTGAAGGAGGCAGCTCCTCTGGTAAATGAGCATAATTTCCAGAAATAAATTGCCAGAGTTCCCTCTGGGAATGAGGGCAGGGAGATAAGATGAAAATGGCATTAGCAAAGCCATTGTGAGTGGAGTGCACCGGAGGGTTGTCCAAAGTCACCGTTAACTTGTTTTTTTGACTCCTCAGGACTGGTTTGGTAGGAGAGGCTATTTCGGGGCGGTCCCACTGATAGTCAAGCAATGTTTCTTTCAGAATATTCTGAGTCACGGTGGCTCGTGGAACTGGACCAGGTGAGCACGGAGTGCAGACCTGGTTCCCAACCCTGGCCTCCAGCTCCTCCTCAAAGTCTTCCCAACTGCGGGACCCAAGCTCCCGGAACCTGCCTACTTGTGAAGCCCGGCCACGGATTTCTGTGGATTCAAAGAACTTGAAATCCCATCGGACCTTAGCCAGACCAAACTTGCAACCCAAGTAGTTCAAGATCCTCAAGGTGCCCAGATGAAGAAGAACCTTCTCTGCGGAGTCAGCAGTGTCCAAGAGGAAAACCACATTGTGGGAGCAGCTCATGATGCTTCAGCCGCTTGTATTCTGGATACCGTACTCAGAAGCGCGAGGAGAGGGCATACACGTGAACCGAGATTTTGAGGAGGAGCCCACTCAGGCCTCTTATCTTAGCATCTTAACGTCAATCCTAAACACGCCAAAGATGAGAAATACATCCCCGTGACATAACCGGGGCCGTCCTTCCAAACATGCTTACAGCGGGGCTTCCAAAGCGGGAGGAACTTATGCCTCTGCTGGGGTTCACGGGCAGGCGCCATCCATCTCCAGAGGGTGCCCTTCTCAAAGAAAAGTGTTGCCCTCTCCCCATCTGCAAAAAAGCAGCCCCCCTTACTCTATCCCCTGGACCCCTTTGCAAATGGGGGCACAACCGGGAATGAGTACCGTGGGGACTCCCCCCTGCCCTGCCCCCGGTTGCCCTGGAAACTACCCTCCTGCCCCTCCCAGTTGCCCCGGTAATTACTCCCTTCTATTACCTTGATGACCACCCTCCTGCCCCCCCTCCTGGTTGCCCTGGTAACTACCCCCCTCTGTTACCTTGATGACTACCGTACTCTCCTACCCTCCCGGTTGCCCCGGTAACTACCCCCCACCTTGATGACTACCCTCCTGTCTCCCCCCGGGTGCCCTGGTAGCCACCCTCCCCCGCTTCCCAAGGCTATAGGAGACTAAGCGGCTTAACAAGGGAGGAGAGGGTTAACTGCTGTTCTCACGAATTCCTAACACCAGGGTTTCTCCCACTCCCTAACCCTTCCCGGGCAGCCCGCCCACGGAGGGAGAAGGGGCCAGCGCGGACCAGCTACCCGGACGGAGTCCCTCGAGCCGTCGCCATTACACCCGGGATCGCCTCGGCCCATCCAACTGCTGGCGCGCTTCGCTCTCTGCTTTCCCATTGGCTTGGAGGGCGAGCCTGGGGCCCTCCCCATTGGCTCGGCATGTTCCCCAAACCCCGCCTTCCCCGACCGCAGAGTCAACCTCCCCCCTCCTGCTCTTCTGATTGGCTGCCGCTGTTGACGCAGGCGCCTTCGCAGGCGGAAGAAAGAACCGGACGCCCGTTTTTTTCTTAAAGCCCCCGCGGCCCCTCCATGAAAGGAGGCTTGAGAGCAGCGTTCTGCTGCATTTCGGTGTTTCTCAACCTGGGCAACTTGGAGACGCGTGGACTTCAACTCTCAGAATCTCCAGCCAGCCTTGCACAGTTTGGGGGGACGTTAGTTTGTGGCTTAGTGTGTTGTGTCCACCCAGCATATTTGTTTAATGTATGATTCAGTGTATTGTGCGAGCACAAAACATGGGCTGAGAGAGTTGAAGTCCACTCATCGTAAAGTTGCCAGGTTTGAAAAACATCGGCGTAGAGAGTGAACGACGGGACTTTGAGGTTTCTGCGTCTGCAAGTGGATGGTGGGTCGTTCTACATATTTCCTAGCTCTACGTTTTCTCCTCCCTCAACTTCACTTCCTGCTTCTCCGTCATTGGCCGAGAGCTCTGGGACGCGAGGCGCTGATTGGGCGACAGGCAGCCTCGCTTTGATTTTAAAACTTAAAAGGTCGTGTTCGCACGCTGGGATCCATCTGACCGGGTCAAAGAAGTACGCAGGATGCGATCAGCTTGAGTAGTTTTAACCTTGCTTTGGGGGGAACGTTGGTTTGTGGTTTAGTGTGTTGTGTCAACCCAGCTTAATTGGTTACTATATGATTCAATGTATTGTGCAAACACAAAAAATGGGTTAAAAGAGAGATAAGCTGAGACTCGAGAGATCAAGTCCACTCTCAGCTATGGAAAATCAGTGGGTGCCTTTGGGGTCTCTCAGCCCGGTCTACATCACAGGGTCGTGGTGGGAGGCAGGGGTATTTTGGTGAGTTGGCCAAAATATGTAAAAGGCGGGATAAAATATAATAATATTAATCATCATCCTTGAGTAAAGGAGAGATGGGGTATTCACCTATTAAATAAGACCACCTCACACACAAACAAATTGTGCTAACACAAAGAGTAAAACCGTGGGAAGGAGGTATTCATAGGAATTGTTACATTCAGTCAATCAGCCTATTCCTATTTTTCTCAAGGAGTTGAAGGTAGATTGCTATTACTCAGATGACAAGGGTGACCCTATCTGGATTCTTCATCTTCCTGGATTCTCCTTTTCCTTTTCTGGTAATGTTTTTAAATGGATGTTTTATGTATTTATATATATTTATGGTTTTAATGTTTTGTGTGA